AAGTGGACCTGAGTGCTGACCTGGTGCTCCGTAAACTGCAGCACCTAAGAAAAGACACTTCTCCTGGTCCGGATATGGTTCATTCCGCTGTTTTGAGAGAAAGAAGCTTCAATCCTGGCGACACCACTTAGCGTGATGTTTGCACACTCGCTAAGCAGAGGCAAACTACCGAAAATTTGGAAGCTGGTCCACATCACACCAATTTTCTAAGGAGGTGGACACAGTGAACCCTCAAGCTACCGACCAGTGGCCCTTCTCTCCATACCTTCCAAAATTATGGAATCCCTAATATACGACGGTATACTAGAATACCTATCATCCTCAAAGTTCTTCTCACCTCAACAGCATGGTTTCAGAAAAGGTCATTCTTGTATGACCAACCTGCTGACTGCGGTGGACAGATGGACAACCATCCTTGATCGCAAGGGGATGGTTGACGTCATCTACCTGGACTTCTCAAAAGCTTTTGATAGGGTCAACCACGTATGTCTTATCAAGAAGCTTAGACGATTGGGTATAAAACCACCTTTGATTAATTGGCTGTCTTCATATTTAGAAAACCGACACTTTAAGGTCAGTTTTAACTTCACTCTCTCTCAGGCTATGGAATGTCCTATTGAGGTCCCCCAGGGCTCAATGCTAGGACCTCTTCTCTTCTTGATTTACATTAAGGATCTTCCTCAACAAATTACATCTGACTAATGGCTTTTTGCCGATGATTTGTAACTTTGGAGAGAGATACGTAATCATAATGATATACTAGTTCTTCAGGAGGATCTGACCCGACTTCAAAGTTGGGCAGACGACAACGGACTTACCTTCAACACTTCAAAGTGCAAAGTAGTCCATCTGAGACATGTTGCAGACCATAGTTATAACTAGAAGTTTCCCAAGTCGAAAAAGATTTAGGAGTGTTGGTACCCTGTGACTGTGACAAAAACGCCTCTCAAGCAAACCTTGCTCTGGCAACATTGAAGCGCATTTTTGGCCAGTTTAACGGTAGAACCTTCCACATAATCTTCAACAGTTTTATTCGTCCCCATTTAGAGTACGGAAACATAATATTTCCTCCCTCCCTCCAAAAAGATAAGGTCACTCTGGAACGTATACAACGTCGAGCCACGAAATCAGTTCGGGGACTCAAATTCAAACCTTATGAAGAGCACCTCCAATCACTTAACCTTTACCCGTTAGAGTACAGGTGTCTTAGAGGTTGTTTTCTTATGACTTACAGTATCCTTAATACTTCTGGTCATCCCCTTAAACATCTTCTTAAGCTTAGTCATAACACTAACCTGAGAGGTAACACCCAGAAATTGGAGACCCTACATAGCAGAACAGACTGCAGACACAATTTCTACTCCGTTAGAGTTGTCAAGTGCTGGAATTCGCTGCCGACTGAGCTAGTTCAAGCGACCTTCCGGGAGTCCTTTAAGAGGAAACTTGACTTATTCTTAAGGACTAAGGATAACATATTATTATGATTTACCAAATTCGTTTTTCCTCTATTATCGTTGATATACCTAGGTTTTTGCCTGGAGGTATTGGTGTTCTACTGCTACCAGACACGGAAGCCCGTTACGCGAAAGCTTCTTCTATTCCGTCCTCAACCATTTGAACCATTTGAATGCTCATCTGACAAGCCATTGAGGAACTCACAATCTGAGTCACTTAATGCACTATCGCACTCTGATAGAACGGCAGATCATCATCCTAGTGCGACTGAGAGGAATTTAATATCGTCGAATATTATTGTGAGTAAATTGCCAGAGTCTAACGATCCAGATCCTAAGGTTAGACGCACACATGACTTAGAGAGGTTCGGAGAATATATCCGTAGCATATTACCAGATAACACTAAAGGTGTTCAGGTTAAAAAATTAGTTAGAATAGGTAAAAGGGCCGATGACAGTGTTCTACCCCGACCGTGTAAGGTAATCTTAGGGTCGGAGAAACAACGTAATCTTCTGTTAAGTAACGCTCGAAGTCACGACAACTCTGACATTCGAATGCGACCGGATGTGTCTCTTGAAGATAGAATAAAAAGGAAGACGGCACTAGCTGAACTAGAAACCCGTCGACAAAACGGTGAAGAAAATCTCCGATTGGTGGGTTTTCGAATAGTCAAGTCTTGGAAGCGAATGCTACCAAGGCCTGTGTGGATAGGTCGTTCCCCCTAGGAGTTTTATATGCCAACGCCCGTAGTCTAAAACATAAATTCTACGAGCTAGGAACATTAGTGGACAAATTAAGGCCACTCATTGTAGCTGTGACGGAAACTTGGTTAGTTCATGACTTCGATATCACCCCAGAATTATCCGGATATCATTGTTTAAGAAGTGATAGACATAGATGCAGGAAAGGAGGTGGCGTCCTTCTATACATAGCCAATAGTATAAATATCCGCTCCTCCGTTTGCGAATCCCATGATAGTGGAACTAGTGAAGTCATTAGCTGTGAACTCACTGTCGGATGTTGTACATTTGTACTCGATGTCATCTATCGCAGCCCAATCTGCTTAGCTGATGACTTTATTTTAGAGCACATTCGGCTATGGAGTGCAAATAACAGATGCTTGATATTAGGAGACTTTAATGCACCTGACATTAGTTGGGCTGAGATGAGCACGAAATGCTCTATAAACTCATTTGATAGCAGGCTCTTGGAAACAGTAATGGAACATGCATTAGTACAACATGTATCCAAACCTACACGTTTTGGTGTAAACCAAGGTTCTTCTCTGTTGGACTTGGTAATTACCCATGAGACTGAGGATATTGTCAACCTAAATATTCTTCCCCCGTTAGTAAATAGCGATCACGCTGTTTTATCATTCACGTTTAGAGCTAGCGATATGATATACGATCAGATTAAGCCTCGCCCAAACATATGGAGAGCTAACATACCAGAAATTCAGGATTGTGCTACTAAGATAGATTGGTCAGTAGATACTTGCTCATCAGTTGATGAGGCGTGGTCTGTATTTAAAGGCAAGTTTAGTGCAGTCACGTCCCCGTTTATACCATACTTGGTGCCACGTAGACCGAACAATAGTCCACCGTGGATAAATAAAGAAGTTAAGAAACTCCTTAGGCGTAGAAAAAAAACACTGGAACATGTTCATCTCTACTGGCTTAGAACAGTACAGATCTAGTTATCTTAAGATTAGAAATAATTGTAAAACGTTAATTAGTAGGACTAGACGGTCATACGAAAAACAATTGGTTAGGGATTGCAAACATAGTCCAAAACGGTTATTCTCGTATATAAAGAGGCGAACTCAAAAAAGTGATGGAATACTATCACTTTTGATACAAGAAAATCCGTTAAGTTTGGCAAGAAATGATACCGAAAAAGCGGAAGCTTTTTCGGAATATTTCAGTAAAGATTTTCTACCAATAATGAGGAACGATCACCTATTCATTGTTTTTGTGGCGACTTGTTGATGGACCCTGTAGTTATTAAGAAAAAAACTGTTTTAAGCCCACTTCAGCATCTCAAACCTGATAAGTCTAGTGGTCCTGATGATATTCATCCTCGGATTATGAAAGCCCTCTCAGATGTTATTGCTGAACCCTTAGCGATGCTGTTCGATATGTCCCTACGGCAGTCCAGATTGCCCAGAGACTGGAAGGACGCAATAATCAGTCCGGTGTATAAGACTGAGGGTAGGGATTTAGTTAGTAACTATCGACCCGTCAGCTTAACTAGTGCAGTTGTAAAACTAATGGAAAAAATTATTAGGATGGCTGTTATAAACTACATGGAAAGACATGATCTTTTGTCAAAGGAACAACATGGTTTTCGAAAAGGTCTATCATGTTTGACAAATCTTCTCATTGCAAGAGAAGATTGGGCTGAGGCAAAAGATCGCAATATTCCTGTAGATGTCATTTTCATAGATCTAAGTAAAGTCCTTGATAAGGTTTCCCATTCTGGTCTTAAATTGAAACTAGAAAGTTTTGGAATTCATTATACAGTCATAGACTGGCTAAGTGACTTTCTTCATGAAAGGAGACAACGGGTAAGAGTAAATGGGGCTCTCTCATCGTGGGAACCAGTAAAAAGGTGGCGTCCCCCAAGGCACGATTTTAGGTCCTCTTCTCTTTTTACTTTATATAAATGAATTACCAGCTATAGCTAAGTCATCCGTCCTACTATTCGCCGATGACATTAAGATTTGGAGACCCATATATAGTATGTCAGACAGAATAGTTTTACAGGAAGATCTTAACTCACTAGTTGCAGTCACTGTAAGGCTGCTGCTGCAAAAGGCTATAGGGCATTATGGTCTATTCGTAGATCTTTCCGGTATCTGGATGGGGAAATGTTTAGATTATTATACCCAACTTTCGTACGGCCACACTTGGAATATGGGATTCAAGCAGCGAGTCCTTGTTTCAAACATGAGGCGGATATGTTGAAACGAGTCTAACGCCGCGGGACAAAAATGGTAAAAGGCCTATCTAGCCTATCTTATGAAGACAGACTGAGACACCTCAAATTTTTCCAGTTATCTTACCGGCGAATACGGGGTGATCTAATATTGGCATATCGTATCCTGAACGATGACCTTGGTACTAACATGTCCTATCTTTTCCTCCCGTCTAGGGCTGAGCATTTGAGAGGACATTCAAAGAAAGTCCAAAAACCGAGATCAAACCGTCTACGTCTGGAGTTTCGTCTCTCGCACCGAGTAGTGAATTACTGGAATTCTCTACCAGAACATGTAATATCAGCACCTTCTGTTGATATATTCAAGACGAGATTGGACTTCCACAGTGTAACAAACTGCAAGGATTAAAACAGGTCACTAGACCTCCTATCCTTATTACTGAGGACTGAGTGTCCTTGAGAGGTCGCGCGGATTGTTTGGTGGTGTTTCAATGATGCAAAGCTTGCAAAATGCACCTCAGATTCATTCGACTGCAGGCGCAGTACCTGTTAAAAATGAAAAAGGTTTTGTAGAACCACATTACTAACTTTTAGGTCAATTTTATATGGTAAAGGTTAAGGTTCAGCGCTACGTTGCCGGGAAGAAACCTGATTTTGCTTCAAGCTCTAGTTCTGAGTCGGAAGAAGAACCAACTATCAATGATACAGAAGAAATCAAGGCTTTTACGTCGCGGTCCGGGTTAATCAGAGATCGTTTCAGAGGGCAGGAGAACGCCAAATCGACAGCAGACGGTACTGACCAACCAACAGCTGAAGAGTTAGCTGACCCTAGATTCAGGAGATTGTTAAGAGCCAAGGTGAGGGATTATGTTTATAAACGTAATGCGTTCACTTAACTTCGTTTAATCGATCAGACCAGTCAGTAGACATGAATGTTGTCTGTTTTTTATTTATATATTTATCTACATAAACACATGTTTAGAATAGTTGAATTCCTCTTATACATGCACTCTTGCTGCACTACGGTTTTGTAAGGCTGAGTTATATTCATTGCCCTCTGCAGTTTGCATATTTGTTAACGTTTAACGTCGTCCCAAAGCAAAGATGAATGGTGTTATTTTCATATGTGAACAATATTAGACACTTCACTAATTTACAATCCGAAAATCAACCGTCTACAGAATCGCTGCCTCATATTCAGATGTCTAACTTTCGATGATTGCGTGGTTGGAGGCTTTAAGTACTTTGAATAAACGTTTTTATATCCACTTACAACCCTATCATTTCGAAACACCTTTTCTGAAACCAAACTTACCCCTGAGCAGTAAATACTAGAATTTTACTTTGTTAAATCTTCTATAGATATACCATCTACATTTACTTATTCTATGGTTTTTCTATAGGGTTTTTGTTAATTTTTTCTTCAGGATCAACTGAGCCAAAGCAGCGAGGATGAAGAAGAGACTGATAGGGTTACTCGTCACAAAAAATACCGAAAATCTGGTAATTATAGTGAGGAAAGTCCCCAAAACTCTAACGGAGAGGACGCTGACGAAGAGGACGTTGATGAAACGGAACTAATGAAGAGGCGTGAAGTAAACCTTTTAATATGCTTTTTACTCGTGTTCACAAATTTAATTAATTCGCATCACCATATTTAAGCTATCTTCAACTCGGTATTTATAAAGCAAACAAGTAGGTTGGTTTTAGATTTTTTGTGCTCATTTCTCAAAAATCATGTGAGAATATAAGTACCAGGTATCAAATTAAAGAAAGAATAATTTACATTAAACAAATCAATTAATAGAGAATGGACCACAGTATTTCACTGGTATCTCTAATGCGAGTCTCTAAAATGAACCTAAAAAAATCTGTATTGGTGAAAGTACATAGACTAAACTGTGAGTTTTTGGATGGAAGCTAAATATCATTGAGAATAGTACTGCTGACTAAACACTAATAATATCAAACTATAATAACTCAGCATAGCAATTCATTTCTAACTTAGCTATAACTTCACGGGTGGTTGCTATATATCTCTTTTTTATTTTATTTTATTTGAACACATAAATATTGTTGCAAGTGGGCACCAGATATTTATGCGCCACACTGTGAGGGTTATGATACTGCCCGGGTGCCCAGACCGAAACAGGTTGTTTCCTTAGGGAGCCACACCCAATGCCTTTGACCTAAATGTCTGACCCACAAGGCAGTGGAACAACGTCAGGAGATGCACTCCAACGATGACCAATACTTGGTTCATAAGCCATTTGTTCCCTCAGGATCCTGGAGCCCATGTGAAACATTGGTTTGGAATTAGTGTTTTCCAACTCCCCTAGATGGACTCACCGTGTCCACCGGCCTGGTTAAAACGCCGGACATTCGCCTTTCGTCCTCTCGATTTTGTAAACAACCAGCTCGCCGCGAGAAGGCAGTGAGTAGGACTTCCCTGGCAGTGGCTGTATACGTGTGGTCATGCGAGAGCGTTTGGAGAGGGTGTGAACTTTTCACACCCTCGGCCGTACTACGGAGTTTGGGGGCTTACACCTATCACAATTGTTTAGAAAACAAACCGTTGTTATTAGTAGTCGACTGTTTGCGGACAATTGAATCCTACTTTTGTCTGCTTCCAATGTAGCTCATCCGTAAGAAAGCGTTGGCTGCTCAAATGAATGCTGAAGTAGAAAAACATTTTGGGGATGGATATAACGATACTGGTCACGAAGACGTGGAAGCGGAGGATGAATTGGGTTATTCAGAAGAGGAGTACACGAGTTCAGATGATGAAGTTGCTCCTAAATTAAAACCAGTCTTCGTACGTGCACGTGATCGAATAACGTTACAAGCCAAACATAAAGCAGACCAACTCGCTCAGGAGACCGAAGCAGAAGTTAAACGACTTGCAGAAGAACGTCGTAGAACAACACTTAAGGTTAGTTTAACTTCTGGACCCTTCTAGACATATTGGTTTCAATATTTTTGGTATATTGGAGTATATTCTAATGTCAGTCCCAAGTTTTTTACTCGCCAGATTTCAGTATGTATGGCAATAAATGCCCGTTCGGAGTATATTGTTCCATGTAATATCACTCGATTATTACTTTTTCATTTTATGTTAAATATACCTTAAACTTTGTTTACCTAGTATATTTGACACACAAATAATTTTATGTTTCTAATTTTAGGTACTTATGGAGACTTAAAATAGTTGTTCGTAACATAAGGAAAACTGAATTAAAAATCTAAGTATAGAGTCTTCTACTTTCGATCACTTGTAGGAAGTGTCAACACATTCCATTTTCACTATATATCTTACAGTATTTATTTGTAAGGAGGTGCTTGAGGCGTATCAAATTCTTTCAGGATTTCTTGCTTCACAAATAATTAAGTGTGTGGTGAAACGAATACATTCATGACTGCATGCGACTAGCAAAATATTTCAATAGTTTACTCGGTTTAAACTAACTTTAGTCCATGTTTCGTTCATTAAAATTCTTCTGTTCAAAAATAGCGACCAACGAACAAATAAATTTTGCTGATTAGATATAGAAAATTATTGTCCTTCAGTTTTTTGTCAAGTAAATTTGAGTTACACTCACTTGGTAACTTTAAAATTAACTTAAAGAAGTATGGTTATTTATGGTATCCATCACTAGGAGAAATGGTGTCATTTGTAGGAGTAGCGGAGCTTAGTTTACGAACAAGGGATTAAGGTCAACATTTTATGAATTTTATTTTACATCATTTTAATTTCTCACAGTTGTTTTCATTATTGACATTGACCATTTAGCTACTAGAAGCAGAACTGCGCCGTGAAGCTGAAGAAGCTCACGCAATTGAAGACGCTCTTGACGCAATAGATTCTGATGAAGGTCAAGGTAATCCTCAAGCGGAACAAGAGGAATATGAAAAATGGAAGGTTAGGGAACTTAAACGTATTCGACGAGAACGTGAGATTCGGGAGGCAGCACAACAAGAAAAGGCTGAAGTAAGTATGTTATTCCCTAACTGTCATCGGAGACAACTAAAATGTTGGTTAGATTGAGTCTTAGTGATGCAGGTGTTTTCATCAATTATCTTGTCTTTTATCTTGAGTGTCAGTATTATTTCACACATCCCCATTCTAACCACATCCTTCATGTTTACTACTTTTCGTTATCATCGATACTAATACTATTTTGAATCGTTCGATATCCAATTCTCTGCTGTGATATGGCTGATATACATGTGTTTCAGTTTGTACTATGCTTTCGACTGACTGACTGGCTTTGTCTTTTACATTCCCTGACGTGTGTTTATAATTCACACACTATAACACACTCTACATAGCTTTAGGCTTGGCTTCTGACGCCACTTTTTAATGTCACATAACTGAAATTCTTACATTTCCTTCGTATACATCTTTAATTTGTGGGTCATCGGGTGATTATGATCTGAGATTTTCACTCTCTCCTTTAATCCTTTGTCAGTTCCACACCTTTAAAATACATACAGTACACTTAGAAATGGTTTTTATAAATTTGCGTGTAATTGCTCTATTAAAATTTGAAACTGTTTATGCTTTGACGCAAGTCACGTATGATTGCTAGTCTCATTTATGTGTGCGTATTTCTCTGGTTTACAATTACTTTTAAACCAAAGATCTAGGCAGCTTTATGACAGTTCTTACTGTAACCGTGATTTTTACTTATGAGGGGCATATTATGTTCAAATAAAACGTGAAAAAGGTAGTCTTAATTTAAAACTTCACTGTATGGATTAATGTATGTTTCCAATATCCTGTTAATTTCATTTATTGTTTGTAGTTGGTTTAACCTAATCACTTTATTGTTGTATGTAAGATGTTTGATCGTTTATCTTTCATTCAAGCGTATATTTTTGCGGCGGTTCGTTTTTATGTGTTATACATAACGATCTGACTAATATGCATTTCAATCTTCTGTCAGAGTTCTTCATTTGTGTTATGAGTTCGATCAGTATGAGGAGGTACTGAATAATGATAAATTATTTTAAATCCTCCATCCATGATGTGGACCTTATTAATAGTATCTCATATGGCTAACCACAACTGTATTTACTATCTGACATGCTAAGTTTTTATGGACATATGTATCTAAGAGTCACTTAGTCACACATGTTTTCTAGACCATACAGAAATTTATATTGGTAAGTATGAATTTTGTGAGATGTTTGTGTGTCAGCAGTGTATCACGATGTTACCAAACAACAATGAACGGGATTCTATTTCATAGCTAAATATATGGGTAAAAACATGCAACTTATTTATACTTGATGATTATTTGTTTGTTCAGCGCTCAACTCATGTAGTTATTTTTTAATAATATATAATATATGCTCAAAATAAACTTTACCTTATGACATAAAAATATTTATAATTTGTCTTATTTTCTTAAATGTTCGGTTTACGAAAGTTGGTTCAAGTAGTTTGTAAAGTCAACTTCGACTATTATAGTGTTGTAAACAATGTTTCCTAACTAAACAGAGCTTATTTCATCATTTTAGATTGAGCGAATTCGTAATATGACTGATGAACAACGACGTGAAGAATTCATAAGAAATCCAAAAGTTATCACCAACAAAACAGCTAAAGGAAAATACAAGTTTTTACAGAAGTACTTCCATCGGGGAGCTTTCTATGTTACTTCGTTGGAGGATAAAGTGTTTCAACAAGACTTTACACAGCCTACTCTGGAAGATCATTTTGACAAAACAAAGTTGCCTACTGTTATGCAGGTCAGTGACAAAAGAATTGGTCTTCATCAATACTTATTTTTTGAAAGGCTATTACTTTGACTGACTGAAAGTTAGGACTGAATTCTACTAGGAAGTATTCAAAGCAGTATAAAATTGTTATGGACAATCTTGAGTAAATTAATCTTTAGCCAAACATTTTACTATTCAAGAAGAAGAGGTATACTTTGAAACCCATAGTGTTTTATGGTTCTTTAGTTAAACGATATTAAAATGTTGTGACATGGTGAGAAGAAAAAAGTTCAATGAGATTATTAATTAAGATGTAGGAGAAATGTCACATTAATAATCAAGAACTTCTGTAGCAGTTACGTATGTAAATCATTTTGAGACAATGTTTATACCTATTTTATTGTATTTAGTTCCCTAACGATAAGTGGCCGTTTCTTAATGATGCTTAACTACCACTTGATTATCAACGTGGTTTTGTTCGTCAAGAATGTTCATCTTGAATATAATTCATGGATATATTCCATTCTTGGTATAATACGTGTCTGTTCACTATATATTGACTGCAAATTGATATTATGCTAGGATAAAACACGATTTAGTTTCCAGAATAATTCGCTTGGGACCCTCGAAATCTGATTATGCGGTTGATATCTTTATTTCATAAAATCATGATTCGAACCCCTTTTATTTTGTTTCGTCAAATCAGATGTATTTAAATTAACAACATTGATCAGGCTAGTAGATTGACTACTAGAATAACAGCAGATTCAGAGTTAGTGAGTCTAGTATTCATTAAATTTTTCTACAACTGTTATATTAACACCCAACTTGCGCATTTACCTTTATTTGAGATGCTAGTGCACGATGCCGTGTTGAATATGGTTTAGCAGTGTAAAGGGAATATCTTGTCTCTTTATATCATACCTCCCCCCAAAAAAATAGGGTTAGTCGTGAACACTATAGGACCTAGCACATAATGATATTAATGAAAGCAGGTTAAACCTAAACAACAGAAATATAAAACAGTGAGGATGAAAAGGTAGAAAGTTAAGATTGATAAAGTGAACGTTTTAGTCACAAAATACCTGTTATATGTACATAATTCTATAGTGATGATTCAGCCCTTTAGACGCCAATTCTTAAAGGTATATGGATGGCATAAATGAGACGGTGTAAGATGAGCTTTTTGTACTTTCACTATGTTAGATGCTAAATCATACTATCTCTCTTGTCGATAGAGAGAATTAAATGCGTTTTAAATGTAATCTTATATTTATTACTTAGGTTAAGAACTTTGGTCGTGCTGGCCGGACTAAGTATACACATTTGGTTGATCAAGATACAACTGTATTCGACTCACCATGGTCAACAACCAATCCACAAAATATGAAGTTCCAGTCAACTCACGGTGGAGGATTTAAACAAATATTCTCGAAACCCGGTTTATCTAAACAGAAGAAAAAGACAGGATAGCACCTTGATTATGGTAATTTGTACATATATTTAACGAAACAGCAGGTCGAATTTTCTTGTTTTCACTGATTTTCCTCTTTTTTATCCACAAGTATGTACACAGTTGATGCGAATAAATAATTCTGTTTATTTGAGAATTCATGTTCGGTGAATTTGTTGCTGATTATATACATTTTATTCCGTAACAACAAAGTGTTATCGCTCAATTTATTCACTGTATGACCATTACTTCAGATTTCTTTTTTACATGCATTCTTATCGACCATGTAGTAAACTAATCAAATTTCATAGACTCACATGCACAAGGCTCCCTGTGCCCTGATACGGCCAAGGGTGTGAAAAGTCCACACTCCTTCTCCAAACGCTCTCGCATGGCCACACGTATACAGCCACTGCTAGGGAAGTCCTACTCACTGCCTTCTCGCGGCGAGCTGGTTGTTTACAAAATCGAGAGGACGAAAGGCGAATGTCCGGCGTTTTAACCAGGCCGGTGGACACGGTGAGTCCATCTAGGGGAGTTGGAAAACACTAATTCCAAACCAATGTTTCACATGGGCTCCAGGATCCTGAGGGAACAAATGGCTTATGAACCAAGTATTGGTCATCATTGGAGTGCATCTCCTGACGTTGTTCCACTGCCTTGTGGGTCAGACATTTAGGTCAAAGGCATTGGGTGTGGCTCCCTAAGGAAACAACCTGTTTCGGTCTGGGCACCCGAGCAGTATCACATCCCACACACAAATCAAGTGAATTTGTGTGGCGCATATTTATTCGGTATTCCTTTGTATCAATATTTATGTGCTCAAATAAATAAATTTTTAAAAAAAATGCGTAAGACGTTTCACACCAGAAACATATTATAAATAATGAATCATATCTACTTTGTTTTTTATTCTTGATAGTATACTAGGGAGTATAACCAAAGTGTACTCATTTTCACGTAAGCTTCATCCACTTATATATTTTGGTAACTATATTTGTTTGCTAATACTAATATATAATAAATGATTAACAGTCAGTTAGTCAGTCAACAAGTGAATCTCCTGGTGGAAAACCAATTCCTGAAAAGTCAGACGATGAAAGTGTCTCCACAAACATATCCATAACAAAGTTAAATAGAGATGGAGAATGCGAACTACTCTAGCAAACACCATTTGAAGTAACCAATTCCGATCACAGTTCCCTAAAATCTCTGACTCGACCAGTAATGTCCGAGTGGAGAGCCTGTACGAGGTTAGTGTACTTCTTTGGTACGCCTTTCAATGATACACTTCCACAGAACCTCACGATCAACGGAGTCGAATGCCGCTTTAAGGTTAGGGAATACAACTATAGTCGGACGTCGAAAAGTATGCCTATGTTCCTGAATCTCCCGAGGTATGAGTATTCGGTCTATACAGCCGCGTCTATGTCTGAAACCAGCTTAGTTTTCCGGGTTTTCTCTTCGAGAGCTCTTGTTGGACATCAAAGTATTGTTGAGGCTAATATTTTAGACACTATATTAGTTAAACTGATTACTCTGTGATTGTCACTTTGGAACTTTTGTTCTTTTTTATAAACTGGGACAAGTGATCGAGACCAATCAGATGGAATTACGTTCAATCCCCATATTTTAGCTGATGTCTCGGTTAATCTAACTGCTAAAACTGGGCCACTATCCTTAAAAATCCCAGGGGTTAGTTCGTCAAACCTTTCTGCTCTTCCGAGCTTTAGACTATCTATAGCCTTTCCAGCCTCATTAAGAGTTGGAGGACTTGCATTAATTTCCTATTCAGGTTGCTTGGAGATAGTGGGTGAGTGAAGAGTGGCTAAAGGCCAGTTGAACTGTCCCCTAAATTGTTGTGTTCATCGGTTCAATCTGGATTCAGAGTGAATAATGTTTCCAGCTTTTTCGGAGATAGTTTCACTAACAGCCGGATTTTTAATACCTGTTTCCTTGATAGGTCTGAACAATTGTCCTGTTATCTACCGCTGCTGCTTTTCCCATCTCTTCTGCTTTAGCTACCCCACTACTGCTCGCGATCCCTACATAGTCTTTTAATCAGCCTACTTTTAAACTTCCTCCGCTCCTCATCGTGTCCGGAGCCATACGAGATGAGGTTCCTAGCATTTATCGGTGCTGTTACCACTGATTTCTCCGAACCTTTTGGTTTAAGCTACCAAGAGATATCACTGCCGTTCCCACAGCTTTTTAGATATCATTCCAAGCTACCTCAGAGTAGACATCACTTTCACGGTCGATTTTATTTTTTATTTATTTAAACACATATATATTGGTACAAAAGGGCACCAGGTACATATGCGCCACACAAAATAATGAAAGTAGGAAGAGAAGGGATGAAAAGATAAGGCGGACTAAAATGTACAACCAGAAGACTCTTTCAAATAGGAAAGTAAGAACCATACTTTATGTAGAAAGTAAAAGAAGGTTGCAGCAGGATCGCCACTGGCTTCTATTCTGAGCCATATCTGATAACGTCTCTAGCCACTGTGTTGCACTATCTCTCGGACCCCAACCAAGGAGTCGTGAAGGACCAACAGAAGCTAGCCCTTTGCAGCTCTCTTTCATGCCACGACACCATGTCATACACTGACCTCCTCTCCGCTTTTTCCAACCAGTCCCAGGGTCGGCAAATAATGCACGACGTGGAAGCCTCTGGGACGACATTCGTAAAACATGTCCAAGCCACCGAAGTCGGTGTTTCAAGATGGTGACACCAATTGAATTATCGTCTCTGCGCCCGAACACACGATGCCGAACCTCTGCATTACTAACATGGTGTTGCCACTGGATGTCAGCAATCCTTCGGAGACAACGATGATCGAACACAGAGAGACGTCTAACATCCTCAACTCGGAGAGGCCAGGTTTCACAAGCTTAGAGCAAAACTGCTCTCACCGACGCGTTGTAAATCCGACTTTTTACATCCAGACTAACATCACGAAGGCGCCAAAGATGGCCCAGATTGGCATAAGCCGATCTGGCTTCCTTTATACGTGCATCAATCTCATCACTCACGCCACCACCAGCACTTATATAGCTACCTAGATACACGAACTTCTCAACTACTTCGATCTGCTCACCATCCAGGGTGAGTACAGGATTAGAATCCTGCCAGTCTTGTAGAAGTACTTTGCACTTGGAGGGTGCAAAGCACATGCCGTACCTGCGGACACTGATTGCCAACTGATTAAGTGCTGATTGCATGCCTTGGGCATTATCGCACAGTAAGACAATATCATCCGCATACTCAAGGTCGAGAAGTCGTTCTCCAGGCAACATATCCACACCGCCATTACTTACATCCACCAGAGCTGTTTCTAGGATGTCGTCGATGGCAAAGTTGAAGAGGAATGGTGAGATCGGGCAACCCTGCCTAACCCCACTGCTCGAATGGAACAAGGGAGAAAGGTGGTTGTATGCCCTCACTCTGCCTGAGGTGTTCGTGTACAGGGCCTTTAAGATGTTAATGAACTTCTCAGGCACACCCTTCTTCAATAGACAATCCCAGAGAACAGTCCTGTCCAACGAATCGAAGGCCGCCCTGATATCAAGAAACACTACGATTGTTGGCCTGCGATAAGTATGACGGTGTTCTAACATTTGGCGGAGGGTGAAGATGTGATCAATGCATCCTCGACCAGAACGAAAACCAGCCTGCTCCTCGCGAGTCAATCGTTCTCGGGTTTTAAACAACCTACGAAGAATGATAGAAGCCAATAGTTTGGACGCAATCGGAAGTAGACTTATCCCCCGATAGTTATTGCAGGAACAACGCGAACTCTTTTTAAAGATAGGGACGACTATTGACTCATTCCATGATGTTGGAACACTTTCTTGCTCCCAAACCTTTCCAAACAACACAGTCAATTCCTTAGTCAGAAAGTCGCCACCATCTTTAAAAAGAGCCGGAGGTAAGTCATCTGGGCCAGGTGATTTGTAGCGCTTCAAGAGTTGGAGTTCCTTGCGGACTTCCGCCTCGTTTGGTGGAACAGTCGTCACCGGCCATGGGGGGCAGGACAAGCTGGTTGATGTTGCCGGAGCAGCAAGCCAGTTGAACTGCCCTTCGAAAAATTCCGCCCATCGTCCAAGACGTCGGGAGATGTTAGTGATTGGCATCCCATCATCCTCGTAGATTGTTTCACTCACACCAGACTTCTTGCTGCCAGTGGCTCGGATGAGTTGGAAGAGCTTCCGGCAGTTACCAGATGCAGCTGCTGCTTCCATCTCATTAGCACGCTCCGACCACCAGGCTTCTCGGTCCTTACGCAAGCTTTGCCCAATTTCATTACGTAACAGCCTTCGTTTGTGGTCAAACTCACGGTCACCCGGAGTAGACCGACGGGCTTCGATCAGTTGTAAGGAGCCAGAAGAGACCCAGTGCTTGTAAGCGGGACGTTTCGCGAAGCCGCAAGCGGCTTTACTCGCCATTTTCATGGCGTCGTGAAGATGCAACCAATGCTCATCTATACTTTTCGGTGGGATGGTAGCTAGCCTAGAGGCTAGCTCCGCAACAGGAGTTGCAGCCAGTTTACTAATATCAATCCGTTGGTGGTGGTCAATCCTTCGGCCACTGAAAAGTAAGGTGAGATTGGCGCAGACCAGGGCATGATCAGACTCCAGATAGGTACTCCAAAAGGAGCGGCAGTCTTGTACACAACCACACCAGCGGTAGCTGATCGCGATGTGATCAATCTGAGTCCAGGCTTGGGATGCAGAGGGAGGACGCCAGGTGGTACACCGGCGATGACTGTGCCGGAAGTTGGTGCTGGCCAGAAACAGGTTGTGGTCTGTGCACAGTTGCAGCAAACGGTCCCCGTTATCTGTCCTGCGACCAACAAGTCCCCATCGGCCACCTAGACGACTCTCTTCTATGCCTAGACGCCCGACCTGTGCATTCAAGTCTCCGGCTAGTACTACAATATCTGTCGAACGCGCTTTCTGGAGAAGAACTGTTAACTGATGGTAAAACTCATCCTTGATTGCATCCGGGCTGCAATCTGTCGGAGCATAGGCGGAGATGACGAAAAGACACCGTTTCTCACGCCGGTTTCTTCTCACTTTGATGGAACTTTCTAATCTAACAGCACATAACCGACTGTTAATGGGGATCCAATCGATTAGTGCTGCCTCAGCCCTAGCGCTTAGTGCGACGCCAACGCCTGCAAGACCAGACGAAGATGCCACAGGGTCCCCGGATAAGCGCACGTGGAACAAGCTTTTCGAGGCGACAGATGGAGAGCGGATTTGTAGTACTTCACTAGAGTCTTGAATACGGGTCTCGGATAGACAACAAACGTCAACA